ATGATTTACGTAGACAGAGGCTTTTACGTGATGGACCATACCTTGATGCTGGGGTGTCTGGCGGTCTTCAAAATCTGGTCAGGAGATGCTGCTAGTCTATTGACAGTATTGTTCATGCTGAAATAAGAACCGCTTGCACCTGTTGAAGGAGCCTAAATAACACGAGCTATTTATAGAGGCCTTCGTCAAAAGCGTTCTGACCAGTGATCTCCCTAATACGTGGCGACATTTCTGCACCGAGGCCGTCTGCATAATGTCCGGAGCACAATACTAGTGCACATACTTTGTGTAATGTAACTGTCGAACTCAGTAATACACTCACTACTGCGAAGAACTGTGCACATGGTTCGGTCGCTCTGCGTCCCGGTGAGTCATGTTTTGAATGGCAGAGACAGGCCATCATATTGCCAAGCCAGAATGAGTTATGTTGCAGAGTGGAGTTATGGAAGACCGAATGTTCAAAAGTTCAGGTGGTTGTTGAGATTCATAAGAAAAAAAATATATGAATATGCAAGAAGAATTCGAGAATAATAACATCATCACAAGATATAAAACAGATTTATATATAAGGTATCGCAACAAGGAAAAGATGCATAACATATCGTTTTGTGTGCTATATCATTTCGTGTTTCACTAAAACTGACTCAGGATAGTAATAAGTTCCAATTTACTGATACTCCTCTTTCGTTTGCCAAGTCTACACAGTTTCACATCTGAGGAATCAGTGACTTTCTGTTGTTCGATATAAAAGCTTCTGTTTCTCACGCGCTTTTCGAACGGGAAGTTTAGTCCTAACGTGAGTTTCATTTATCAAACTTTTGCTGTGTTCTTACGCAACAAATGTACCATTTCTGACCGAAAGAATCTATCCTGAGCTATACGTTCGGTAGATTACTTTTTGAGTTTCACCATATTTATTAGTTAACTGTGGTTTTGCCTCAGCTTACTATTCGTTTTTTGTTTTTCACGTGAAGACTAATTCAGTTTATCTCACTCGTTTTCATCCGTTTTCATCCATTTTTGTTCGTTTTCAGTGTGTTTTTAGTGTATTTTTACGGTCATAGGCTTTTCCAAGCATCAATAACATAGTTTGCTTCAACATAGTCATGAAAAACTCATGCAAACGTCCGGGATGCCGTTTCGCTGTTACAACTGGCATGCAGTGCGACAACTACAAAGGTTGGTTCCACGAAGCGTGCACATATCTGACGGCAACTGCTTACAACAGACTCAGCAAGTCGGACCGAAAGTGGATAGTGTCACGCGCAGCACGGACGCTGTAGTTTTGCTGAGTAACATCATCGTCCTACTGACAGGTCTGCGCAACTATTTATCAGCGAACTTGGATAACCACAATAAAAAACGGGCAAACAAACAAGACCGCGCAATGAGCACAAGATTAGGGATGTCGACAGGTATACCATCGATGGAGAATCCATAAGCACTAATGATGAACCTCAGCACCATCATTACGTCGACGGTATTAGACTCCCTAGGTAAACTCGGGTCTCCCAGCTCAGGGTCCCTGAACACAACAGTGGTTCCCAAAAACCCTGTAGGTGATTCGACCCACGTTAGCGGAGTCCAAAAGAACCAGCTGTCACCGCCTAAGCTGAGCATCCCAAGTGTTGTTGTACGGAAAACAACTGGTGATTTGGTCGCACAGTCTACCCCCAAGAATGTCCGTCCGAACATCAAAGAGCCCAAAATTCAAAAACGTGCCTTGACCTCCAAACAACAAGGTATTAAACCTGAACCCACCGGGAAACCTGGTAAATCAACAACAGTTCGTGACGATTCTCTCATAAACATGAATCTCATTGGCAATCCTGACCGTCCTCTCAGTCTTTAGGACAAAAATGATAGGATGCTCTGGGGTGAACTGAACAAGAAGCGCAAACTTCCTAGAATAGAGCCTTTGACGGTCACCCGGCTCACTCGAGGAAAGGATTCTAAGCATGTAAATCATCCGAGGCTACTTCGTATAACACTTAAGAATGCTTCCGATGTAGAGGACATCTTGCTAGCCAGTCACATGCTGAAATCGGATATCTGATATATCTTCTCAGTTCTCAGACAAAGAGTTAGCATTACCTGGGATGTCTTTGTTCCGCAACGACAGAAAATCAGGAATTGCGGGTGGAGTAGCCCTACAAATATGTTCTTGCTTGGAGGTGCATCAAGTTCATAACCTCCAGTTTAACAATCTTGAGGAATCCATATGGGGCTCTGTAAGACTGTCCAGTACTTCGAGGTGTCTAATCGGAGTCATTTACAGGAAGCCAACTGCCGACATCGAGTACGATAGTCGTATGCTGGAAGGACTATCCCGCTCTACCCGTCTCGGTTTCACACACATCTTGATTCTAGGGGACTTTAATCTCCCTAAAGTCAACTTCGTGGATCACACGTATACTGGAGGCGATAACTCAATTTAAGCTCGGTTCTTCAACCTCATCGACAACTTGGGATTTAACGAAAATGTGAGATCGGCAACTCGTTGGAGGAACAGTCAGACACCATCGCGCTTGGACTGTGTATTCACAAACGAAGAATTTCTAGTTGACAACCTCTCAATCCTGGCTCCCCTGGGAAAAAGCGATCATGTCGTCATAGCCTTCAGTTTTGTCAGCAAGGCTAAGCTAAGCTATTCCACCAATAACTTGCGTTGGAATTTTAAACGGTTGAATGTGTCAGCTCTACACGACTATCTACAACAGGTGGATTGGGATGTTCACCCTCAACTCGATGTGGACGGTCATTGGGACATCTTACTGCACACGCTCCTATGTGCTACAGACCATTCAGTTCCTCAAACGGTTCCCAAAAGCTGCAAGCCACCTACAATAATCAAGAACCGTACCCATTGCTTGCTAAACCTCAAAAGGCACTGTTGGGCGGAATACAAACGAACTGACAATGACGGAGCGTACAGGCAATATAAACATATAAGTGGCATATGCATGAAGGCTATAAGAGAAGACAGGCTTCAGTACCAGAAAAAGTTCTTGGACAAATTTGCCTCTAATCCTAAAAGCTTATTCCGTTATGCAGCCTCTCTTCGTCAAGCCAAAACTGGAGTTTCTCAACTGCTAGGTCTTAACGGCCCGACCAACAACGATGGCGACGCCGCTAACCTTCTGGCTGAACACTACTCTCAGACACTTCAACCGACCGACAATAACTTTACTGATGACAGTTTCATCTGCGATTCCATAGGACTTTTCGAAGTGAAACTAAGCGCTGACTTGGTGTTCCGGAAATTGCAGCACTTTAGACTAGACACTTCTCCTGGCCCGGTTATGATCCAGTCTGCCATACTGAGGGAAGCAGCCTCAATTTTGGCAATGACACTTAGCGTGGTGTTCTCACGCTCGCTAAGTCGAGGAACACTACCGGAAAATTGGAAGTTGGCTCACATTACGCCAATTTTAAAAGGAAGTCGACGCAACGAACCTTCAAGTTATCGGCCGTGGGCTCTTCTGTCATTACCTTCAAAACTCATGGAGTCCCTGATATGCTACGATTTATACGACTATCTACTTTCCCTGAATTTCTCCTCACCCCAACAACATGATTTCGGGAAGGGTTACTCTTGTATCACCAAACTCAAGGGAAAGGTTGACATCATCTACCTAGATTTCTGAAAAGCTTTTGATAAGGTTAACCATTTATGTCTTATCAATAAGTTTAAACGACTAGGTATCAGACCACCTCTAATCGCTTGGTTTACTTCATACCTGAAAAATCGACACTTTAAGGTTAGGGTTAATTTCACTTTATCTCAGGCTATGGAATGTCCTAGTGGGGTCAGCCAGGGCTCAGTACTTGGACCTCTTCTCTTCTTGATCTACATAAATGATCTTCCTCAACAGGCAACATCAGAATTGTTACTCTTTGCCGATGATGTTAAATTTTGGAGAGAGATACGAAATCGAGACCATATACAGGCACTTTAGGAGGATCTGACTCGACTCCAGAGTTGGGCAGATAATAATGGACTTGCTTTTAACACTTCAAAGTGTAAAGTAGTCCATCTGGAACATGTCGCAGACTACAGTTATAACTTATGTACCTCCTCGCTAGTAGTATCCCAAGTCGAAAAAGATTTAGGAGTCCTGGTGCCCCATGACTTAAAGTCTTACGCTAACTGTGACAAAAATGCCTTCCGAGCAAACCTTGCACTGGTAACATTGAAGCGCACTTTTGGCCAGTTTGACGGAAGAACGTTCCATATAATCTTCAATAGTTTTATCCTTCCCCACTTAGAGTACGGAAACATAGTACTTTCCCCCTCACTCCAAAAGGATAAGGACACTTTGGAGCGTATTCAACGGCGAGCCACGAAATCAATTCGAGGACTAAAATTTAAGCCTTACGAGGAGCGCCTTCATTCACTAGACCTTTACCCATTAGAGTATAGGCGTCTTAGAGGTGATCTATCAATGGCTTATAGTATTCTCAACACTTCTGGACATCCTCTTAAACACCTACTTAAGCTTAGTTCGAACACTAACCTAAGGGGTAACACCCAGAAACTGGAGACACAACATAGCAAGACGGAATGTAGACATAAATTCCATTCCTTAAGAATTGTCAAATGCTGGAACTTGCTGCCGGCCGAGTTAGCTCAAGCGACTTCCTAGGAGTCCTTCAAGATGCAACTTGACCTATTCTTAAGGACCAAGGACAGCATCATACTATGATTTACCAATTTCTTTTTCCTCTTTTATTGTTAACATACCTAGGTTCCTGCCTGGAGGACTTGGTGATCCCCTGCTACTAGACACGGAAGCCTTTTAACAAAAGCTTCTTCTATTCTGTCTACAACCATCTGAACCATTTGAACTCTCTGAATCCTTATAACTATTTGAACAGAGTTCAGTTTTTGGAATTCTTGACACTTCTGAAAAGAAGTTGAAACTCTACAATACTATGAGCTTTGATGATTTCAACCTTCTCCGATCATAAGTAATCCTTCTCTTATCTTTTGTTTTTCTAACTATTTTAGAATACCGCGATGTATGAGCGTCTTAATGATGGCTGTTTATAAAGGACTTGACTTATGTTTACGATAACTTAGTAGGACTTTTATTCATTGGAGTATACTTACTGGATATACGTCTTATAAAATCTTAAAGTTTACGAGGAAATGGCTGATCTAGAAGCTGTTCTAGCGGACGTCAGCTATTTGATGGCTATGGAGATGAGTAAATCCACTCCAGCGGCTCGTGCGAGCAAAAGAATTACCTTACCCGACCCCAGGTGAATTATTTTTCTAGTTTTGGTCTTAAAGTCGATTGATTGTTTCATTTCGGCATATCATTCGCTTTGTTCAACTAACAGAACATCTCAAATCAGTTAGATAATATAAATAATCGTCATAATACCATTTTACAGAAAGTTGTTATGTGTACACAGAAACTGCGTTGGTTCGCTTTTGCTTTATTTTACATTGTTTGGGTTCGGCTCTAGAATCTACTAGGTTAATCTAAAATTGATCTGCTTTCATCGATTAATTTTTGTTAGTGCAAAATTGTGGCTATGAAATATCTACAGTTTGGAAACATAAGATTCTGATGTAACATCAGAGATCAGCGTTGAGACTGTAATCGCCTCGTAAAACGATTATAGATCCGCAAACTACCCATGGAATGAGTGTTACTGTTTTTGCTATTCCGTATCAACTGCCATAAATGGGGCTGTAAAGATTTTACTTAAGGAAGTACATAGCAATTGTGTGATTCCTATGTTTTTTCTCTACTATGTGGGGAACACATTTCGTTTTCTCAAAACGAAAGCATATTGTTGGAGGTTTTGATTGATTTGGGAAGCAAGCAGTAATGGAATAAGTAAAATATAGCCTTTTGGTACGTGTTAATCAAGCACAAAGTCATGCCCTTCAATTTGAATTAGATGGTACTATTCATGCCGAAGTCGATAACACATTAAAAGTAATCAGATCCTTACATTAAAAGCAAAACGTGTGTAAAATTATAACTATTTAATTACCTGATAATTTGACTTGAGTAATCGTGTTAGAGTCTATTGCCTAGGCCTCTGTAGGAGAATTTGGTGAAACTCTAATTTATGGACGACCTTTGAACGAATTTTTAAGTGACCTTGAATACATTAGCCAATCAGAAGAGAGTTAGTATAAAGTAAAAATATATCATAAAAGAGTGATGAATTACAATGGATATTCTTCTTTTACATTATTTGAGAACTTGTTGAAGTTTGATATAGGTTCGGAAGTTTCGAAATCATAGTGCATGCGGTATAAGAACTCGTCCATATGACTATAATAATCGTCCTCTGAAGCCGTGGTAGGGTTTTAAAGAATACTTCAGCCTAGACCACATGCCCTCAATGTTGTTTGTATGGACCTCCCGTCAATGGATCAAAGAAATGACGTTTATACACCACTACATGATGCACAAAACCAAGTCTGGAGAGGCATCTATACGCTCTCCAAACATCGGTATAGCCGCAGCTAATGTTACTGGAGACTTTATGATCCAATTTGCAACGATTATCATGGTTTGTCTTAGCCTTAGCCGTGACCGGGTAAAAAAAGTGCCAGTTCGAGCAGACTTTTTTCTACAACATATAGTACAACGAAATACAATGTCATCGCGGCAGTCTGCACATCGTGCTGCGGTCATTTAATTGCCGCAGTCACAGACACAGGAACTTCCTAATAGTCCCATCTGCTGTAGTCTCTCAACGACCACCTATTCTCTAAAATCTGCTGTAAAACGATCGAATGTGAGCATCCCGCACTGAACTTAGCGCCATGACCTTGAAATTCCTTAAACGCTTCTAATTGGCTCGTCCATAAATTAGAGTCCTACCGAGAATTTTAACTTAAGCTTCATATTGTGATTGAGGTAGCTATAAGATGTCATCACTTCACAATTCTATGTACGTGTTACTCGGAGTCGCGTATCACAAATATTTTGTATAAAACCTGATCTCATTCAGTTATGGATATAAGAAGCAAGATATGTAGAGTTCCAAGGCTAAATAATTATAACGTCAAAGTATACTTTGGGAACAGTACAGTTAGTTGTTTTTTTTTTTGGCTCAAGAGTATTCACTAAGTTATAGTTCTTCATTTAAGTGTATTAATTTTGCTTTGGTTATTTGTTTGTTTAGTTAAACAAAAACATTGATGCAAGGTGGAACCAAATATATTTGCCACACACTTCACCATCTAATTTGTGTGAGGACTGGAATACTGCCCGAAAGCCCACACCGAAGCTTTTGTTTTTAAGTTGTAATGTTCACTTCTGGTGCTAATAGTTCGCAAATGCTTTACTTGGTCATGAAACCGGGAAAATCGATTTAGTAATCTTGTTGTTCATATGTCACTTAGGGCTTGCATATTATACGAATATTTATTTTCTGTATTGCGCCAGAGGGTATAACAACCTATGATGATACCATTATTTACGTTAAATAAATTTAATTACTCCAATATAAGCCCAGATGAGAAATACACCTTTCAAGATTAGTTTAGATCAACAGGTCATCAGGAGTTCGGTAAATCCTACCTTCCAATGATCTTCTGTTAAGTCCAGTACTTTTTACTGTTTGAAAGTGAGAATGTTTGCTCTTCACATAGATTTTGATACGGTAGTTGTAAAAACAGGCTACTAAAATATCTTGGACCCAAGTGACTTAGTTTTGTTTGTTCTTGTTTTCCTTTGTTCTCAGTTCTTTACCTTGCTATTATTATAGTTTTATTGCTTTAATTGTACTGAATGTGTTCGAAAATAAGTACAGTTTGAACACGTAATATTTTTGTATTTCACAAGCATATATGTTTGGCACAGGAAGCAGACTAAACCATGTCAAGATTTACAAACTGTTTGAATTACCCGTTAGAGAATACGAGTTTGCGGTACCCTATTTCAACGTGGTCACATTTTCTGATCCCACTCCACTAACTAGAGTCTAAACAACTGGATATTATCATTGTAGACTACAAAATACGTGTCGTAGAATTTAGTTACATCACTATTGGTACTCGTTAATCTTCGTACTACATATGTTCGTGATCAATATGCGATCAATATGTCACATTGCAATAGTGAGGCTTGATAGGTTTGAAAAATCTCACCATTTGCAGTTCCAAAATAGGTACGTGGTTGTGTGAATTTAACCTGAAGAAGGACATTTTTATCTCGATTACATTGATGTACCGTGCAATTATACACAGGCTACCCAAGTTCCACTTATTCAGTGGACAATAAGTGTCCATTAGTACGCTGTGTATTTTCCTTTTCGAAATCCAAAATTCTGGAGAACTATTAGGGGTATGTGACTGCACCCACGTTTTGTAGTGAACCGTCTTAAGTAATGTAAAAGTTCGCACATGAGCAGTTGCACAGGTACTCATAATAGTGTAAGATCGGTCTATGTAAGTGAAAGCTAGGGCAACTTATGGTGATCTGGAGCATCTCTTGAGCCATTTTAATGTTAACTGAACAGCTGTTATCGTTGCTCACTCATCTGTATGGAAAAGTTTTAAAAACTGATGAAGATACATCAAAAGGGGCTACACGAATGACGCAATAGCTTCTAAAACGTTAAACTCAATGGAATTGAGTTGTAACAGAGCAACCTTTACTTAATAAACTATTATTTTTATTGAGCGGAAGCAGTCATTTTATTTATGCCCAACAATATATGGGATGTTAGGTACTTCTGTTTATTTCATTGTTTTAGAGGATAAGATTCGTAATGTTTCATTAATATCTCAGTCCATACTTTTCTTCATTTAAATGGTTTTGAGAATGTCCACAAACCAGCATTGTTATGTCGTGTTCGCTTGTCATTTTGTTAGCAAAAATATCTATAATCCGGACAATAATTCCTAAGCAATGTGTAGACGTTTCTATTGCTGGGAGATTCATAACGAACCGAAGAAATTCTGTTCCAGCCATTTTTCCTAGATCTGCCATTATCAGACGTTTTGAGCTAGACAGTTATTCGTAAATAATTGATAGTCATTAAAATGACATTACCCTGGTACATTAAAATCGGTCTTTATATTTTATTTATTCTTATAATGAAGTATTTTGCAGTTGAAGTTATTAATTTCACACTAGCAAGTCCTTGTTCTTTTAGGTTAAATTTCTATTGTCAAAAGTTTCGATATCAAGCTGCAAAACATTCGTCATCTAAGTGTCATTTGTTCACGTAATCTTTTTTGAAATATTGCTCAACAATGAAGCGTTTTCCAGCCATAATAGTTCACTTTAAACATGTCGATATTGTAAATCTTTATACATGGATTTCACTATTTCATCTCATTCAAGATTGTTTTTTATCTTTTCAGCATCCGTGGTATCATGACCAAGTATTTGGAAAAGAACAACCAAATGACCTTCGATAAAATTTTTAACGAGAAGTTAGGTAAGTAGACTGACCACAATGTAGCTAAGATCTCCTTTCCACTTAAGGTTACTTGTTGTTTCGGGACTTCGTTCTCAATGTAAGTGAAGAACCTGTTCCGCAGCTTACGTTTTACGAAAATGTAAGAAGTATTTAGAGTATTTATTTTTTATAATCTTTAGATTAAAAAGTTTGAAAAGTTAGACACAGATGAAGAGCGTATTAAATTTGGCCGAGAAATATATGATCAACACATTATGAAAGAACTTTTATCGCATAACCACGTATGTTTGTCTACTTAAGTAACTTTAAATTTTGCCAGAAATTCTCTAAATCAACTGTGGATCATGTCCATGAGCTACTCACTCTATCTCAAAAGACTAAAAAGCTACCAGCAGATACATTTTCTGTATGGTTTTACATTTAATTGTTCTGATTTTTTAGTTGTATGAAGATGAAATCCTCCAGTTCCTTCGTGGTGATGTATTTGACAATTTTCTTAGAAGGTAGATTAAAATTCCTTTATTTATTCGTTACTCTACCTTTGTTAACAGTAATAAGTTCACTCGATTTTGTCAATGGAAGGATTTGGAGTTAAATATTAACGTATGGTTATATTAACTAATTAGTCCCAATTATTTGATATTAATAGTTAACCACAAACGATTTCAGCGTACATCGCATTATTGGGCGTGGTGGTTTTGGGGAGGTCTATGGATGCCGAAAAGCAGACACTGGTAAAATGTAAGTATATACTGGCTATTGAATTCATGCATTGCTGAAAAACGAATACATTAATTGTTACTTTTCATAGCATATAGTCTAAAATCTAGCAGAGAATTTTAATATTCCTCACTTATGTGATAAAATGCTTCAGGTGTTTTATGCATTACCTGTTTACAGGTCCATCCAAGATACTGCGGTGATTCAGATTATCACATCGTTGCAAAATGTCAGGATTTATAGAGGATTACATCTTTAATTTAATCTCGAACACCTATTATATCCTAATTTGAACTTGCATGTGTATAGACGCTAATGAGTTTAAGAAAGAAATGCTTTCGTTTCATTCTTAAAAACTCGAACAGGAGCAATATGTTGGGGGGGCATCGACCGAATGTCGAATCATAGTTGTGATATTTATTCTGACTTAGTATAGGCCCGCATAACATTTACTGTGAAGATAGTGTAACAGTTAATTACTTACTAATAGCCAAATTAACATTTACTTCGTACCACTTGTTTCTTCGTCGTTAATTGGCTATATGCCAATTCACGTTTATTCGACGTAACTATATATGATCTTCATACCTAATGACAAACTTCAATTACTTTCTGTTGATGGTGTTCTTTCAGACCGTAGTTTCTTCTTATTTCTAGTTTTACAAAACTATTTATTGGAAGTATACAAAAGAACAATATTCCGTTGGTATACCGCTTTTACTCCGGCCACAGGTAGTTGGGTATATATAATGCATATTTAAACCACTTCGGCCAATGAAGACTTCCGTGTTACCTTCTTTACTTAACACATTTACTCTATCAATCCTACTAAGGTATATTTACTTCAAAGTAGTATTTGTTGAATTTCTTCCAGGTTGATGATAAACACATAGTCTAGTAAATTTTATTGATAAATAGGTTTTGCGTAATATTTGTATTTGTTTTGAGGATCGAATTTCTTGGTTGTCTACTCTATTATCAACCATGAAACTGTGTCATTCCTTCTGAAAAGCTGTTAAGCCTGGTGTCGTACATTAGACATCAATCTTTGTTAACATCGAAAATTCTTTGTGTTTATCATTCAAAGATAACCAGAATAAAGGCAAACGACAACTTTATGTGATTGGTTAACCACAAATGTTATGAGAAAAGTACCTTAGGTGTTAATTTTCGGTTTTTATACCTATTATAAATAGCGACAAACGAAATGTTTTAGTGAGTTTTAGTCTTGACTGATTAATCATGTGAACATTTCTTTATGTAGGTATGCTATGAAATGTCTGGACAAAAAGAGGATCAAAATGAAAGGGGGAGAAACTTTGGCCCTCAATGAACGTGTTATGCTTTCACTTGTTAGCACAGGGGTGAGAACTTGTTTTCTATTATTGCTTTTTTATGTCCGCATAATGTGCTATTGATAGGTTTTGTGTTACGGTTCGTGAGTAGCCATAAACAATGTGAAACTTTCAGTTCACACATCTTTAGACATTGGTGTTCCTATTAAGTTAGCCATAATCAACAGAGGATCTGACAGATGCTCCAGCTCAAGTTGCCATATTACATTAGTGCGGTAAAATTAACAAAATGACTAGTATCAGTGACAGTGACAAAGACAGGATGGATTTAAAGAAATAAAACTGAAGCTTATGACTTGGGAGGGAAAATGAGTGACTGAATCTGCACTACTGTGACCTATTTTGAAATATGTCTCCAACCACTAGTTACGATAATCATGAAGATCCAAACCAACTAGTCAAATGTTACCTACACAGCTCAGTCTGAGAGTCAGTGACTTCATAAACTGATGTCATATTTTATTACCGTCCTCCTGATCTTCTTTTAACCCATTTCTACTCCAGGTGGCATCGGGTGTCGATGTTTGCGGTGGTCGGGAATATGTAACACTTGTCCCAACCATCTCAGTCGATAAAGGTTCACGATGTCATAAGCCGATTTGCCATCTTAGTTCAGTACTTTTTATCAGGATTACTCAACAGTGTTCATGTAGTTGTTCCACTATACGCAACCGATGGTTCGAAAGTACCCTTATTACGACCCAGCTACACTTATTGTCTAGCATTCACGGACACTACTCCACTTGACAATTCCCCAGATCAGAGCACGATTGAACAAGAACGTAATTACATTCCAGATAAACAAGGTACGAATCACAATAAGAAAACTGTTAATATATTTATGGTTTTTACATGAGAAGGCTCTAGAGTCTTCTCCAAGTATCTGCTAGCGCTGATTGGTTAAGAAACGGCCAATCAACGTGTCCTCAACACAGTCCTGAACGGAATATGCTTTAATCCAATCTATACCCCGCTAGCAAGTTCACTATTATGTTGGGATATCGATCTGCGTAACCAAGGTGAACCATAACAACGTCACTTGCTATGATCACTCTGGGTGTCGATGCAGACCAATCACTAATCAACGTTTTGGATTCAGAAGTAAAGAAAACCATGTTTGCATTGTTACTCAGGCTGTTCAAGGGACTGTATAATGTTTCAGTCTTCATCAAATAAAATCATGTCACTTGCGTATTCTGCGGTTCTGAAATCACTTTTATTTTTCTGGTTGTAATGGCATTTACACTGAGTTATCAGAGATGTGCAGATGATTGCGTAGGCACGGTTCGAATGTTGAAGTCAACTTAACAGTCAAGACCTTAAAGACATTTGTATGTGTATTTTTATGTGGGATGTATCTTTAGTTTCATGTGTATGTACTTCTAGACTTAAAGTAGTAATTCATTTTTCATGGTTAATATATCTCACCAGTATCTACTGAGTAATTTGCTAATTAGAGACCCATTGATCGAGACATTGTTTTGTCTAATAACCACAAAATTAATCAATTTATTTTAATCAAAAAAATTTTAAAGCCATAGTTAGGGATTCTGACTTCCTGCTCACTTCGACCCATTAGTCCTAAATCAAAGAATAAATGACCTCATGTGTATAGTCGTTATTACTGTTATGTCCCGGCGAGAATTATGAGTGGCAACTCTTGAGAACTATTTATGGACCAGTACGATGTATATATATTTTTTGTATAATTGTTAAATCTCTAAAAATGCATATTCATGTTCCTCTTATTGTAAGCTTTATTTTGACTCATAGACTACTATTGTGCGACTTACCGTTCTTGAGTTATGTCCAGTCTATTAATTACAGTCTCCCACATTCACAGCCACTTTTTGCGAAATCTTGTACACATTTTATTTTTTATTCTATGGTATGATGCGGTCTGTTTGGTTTGCATATAAACCCAATATGTTTGAAATACATGGTTCATATCGTGGAGGCTGATATTGGTGTTACGGACTTAACAAGCATGGATAGACAGGAAGCAAGACCGTTCAAGACTCTGGACTGCTAGTACGGTTTTTATGCGTCATTGGTCCGGTCGATAATTCACTGTTCTCTAATTGGTGGTATCATTACATAATATATTAATAGGGACACTAGACCTACAAGATATAATAATTACCGACTTTTATCTATCGTTTAAACGTTGTATTTAAGCATGTAGGCTATAGATTGTATTCTCCAAGACTTTATACTGTGGGCAAACTGGTTTAATCTGGAATCTTCCGAGATTTTGTAATGTTTTTACACTTATGACAAATACAATTCCCCCGAAATTTGTGGTCTGTTATGGTTTGAACATGCTAGTTACTCGTCCTGACAACCAGATGCTTATTTAGTCAACTTTATACTTTTGCTGGAAATAAATTTCTATGAAATAGTTAATTGTACGTAGGACAACCTAAATACTCTCAGTAATTTACACTGTATTTATGCGACATATATCATTAAGTATTTCAATTTGATTTCAGGACTCCCATTTTCACAAGCGCGTCTGATTGTTTATTACTGAATTTAGAGTTTTTCCTAAAAGCTATCCCACCGTAATGATGGAAATGTTATATTTGAATAGAGGGTATTAGTTTTTTACCACTAGACTTGATTCCATGTTTTCCATATTGTTTTTCTACTAAGTTAATCATTATTTGAAGTGACAACGAAAATAATGGCACAATAAAATAAAAGCGTGTCAAAGCAAAATGGCGAATTGAATATTCGAAATTTATTCATGCTTAAAAGAACCTGAGTTATAACGCTTCTGAATCAGTTTTTGGGTAAATAAAAACTTACATAGAAAAGACAAGCAAATGGGAGTGGTAGGGAAATCAATTTAGAAAAATTTCACATTATTTTAAATCAGGACAGGGATGAATTACATAACCATTTTCTGCGTAAATAAATTGGAATTGTTTCTTTCATCTTATAATTGTAAGCTGTACAAAAACAATCATTCTCTACTTCATAATGTATCTTACATAATACGAAAAATCACTTTTTGATGGTTCGATAGTTAGTATCAATCAGTTACATTAAAATAAGATTGAATTAAATTTTTATTATCTTTGCAGTAAAGAGAAATGTTTAGGTATGGATGATTACAGCTTTAATTACTAAACTGGATATTTTTCCTTTTTGTGTAAATATATAAATCAGTTTGTGTACGTAAAAGCTTTCTTTCAAAGTTAGAACTTACTTATATTACATAATTTTCCTTGTAAATAATCATCTTAATATGGTGGTGGTGGACACTACTCACAAAATTGCTTATAAGTAGTATGTAGTAGAACGTTGCATGAGAGTTGCTATCGTCGATAGCTGAAAATAGGAGTCTCAGAAAGCCAAAAGTACAGAGTGTTCGGAATACTTATGAGAGCAGAAGAGAAGCCATGGAAGACAGTCTAAAACCAGCTTGGGTTGCGGAACACAATAGATGCAAATGTAAGATCCAAAACTAGGTCTGTGTATTTCATAAGCAGTCTACCTTTTCGCCAAATTAATATATATTTTCTGTCTGGACTTGACTTGTTCGTACATTACGTGGTTTCCTTTGATGGTAAGCTAGTTGGAGCATTAATTTTATTTGCTCAGTGTTGTATTTACCAAGGTTTTTATTTTCTCTTTTTCTAAAACAAATAGGATGGTTGTCCTTTTATAGTTTGTATGACGTACGCCTTTCAGACTCCAGAAAAATTATGCTTTATACTAGATTTAATGAATGGTGGTGATTTGCACTATCATCTTACTCAGCATAATATCTTCTCTGAATCAGAAGTACGTTTTTATGCAGCTGAAGTTATATTGGGTTTGGAGCATATGCATAATCGTTTCATTGTATATCGCGATTTGAAGGTAAATATACCAACTTAATATTTTATGCTTTTACCATTTGGATACCTATTTTCCTTTTACTAAAACTTTTATTTGGGGATATATGAACTAAATGCTGTCACATTGAATATGGAGTTGTTCTGACCAGATAAACTTCATGTACTTAGTAGGATAAGTTTCGACCTTAAAAACTTAGAAACTGGTTTCGGTTTGCCTTTGTTCTGAATGCCGAATAAAAAATTCCAATTGTATTGCTAAAGTTCTATTACTATCTAGTGATATATTCCACTCTAATAACCACAGTTATTCACAATCTGAGTAATAAACGGTGTACTGGTTTATTTCTATTCAAATTTTTGGGGTGGAATCTGGATGAAGCTCTTATAAATAGTATCTTTTTAACATCGACATGAAGGCTACTCTCTGTTTTTGTCGTTATTTTTAAATACAATGGCAGCAAGTGGATATATGAATCAGCTTTGAATTGAGTTTAGGTTCGGTGTTTCTGATTATCCGTGAGCTATTGGAAGTTTCTTCCATTATAAAACGGGTCTTGTACGACATGAATAGACTGGACAATTAATATACAACACTTAATTGACAATTCCCCGCGCGATGAAATATAAAGAAAAAAAATTTGTATTGGCGAAGTCCCCAGAATTGTTAATTTACATTCAAGTTCATTCGATTACATAACGATTGTTCAATCATTATTAAGTACAAAATTTATCAAACTAAGAAGTTATCAGTTAGGCATAAAATCACAGTAAATTGATGAATACAATGGAAAATGTATTAAAATCAAATAATCAATTTCATAGTGAACGAAAGCTATTGAAAATTCACCGAAAGTCAGTAAGTGAAAATCGGTTTAGAAATAATTAATACGGAAGTCAAAAACAAAATTCACTTCAGATCAATGTGTATTTTAAAATTGATTTTTTCCGTATGTTGTATTTGGTCCGAGATTTAGCATCTCCAATAGATTCACTTTTGATTGTCTGATAATGACTACCAGAAATATCACACACTTATAGGTATCGTTACCAAGGTTTGACTTGATAACTTTGAATAAATTGAGGATTGGGTAGATTATTATAAATAAATTAATATATTTGTAATATCCCAATGAGTAGAAAAATTAGATTTTCTGACGTTTCGTGACTCGGTGTAAGCCACTTCGAAGAATAAATAACCGAATCTAATTTTTCTACTCATTGGGATATTACAAATATATTATTTATCTATTTGTCACACAGACAGTCAGTCAGTAACAACGTAGAACTTCGTACGTACGTACATCAGTTCGAGTTGCCACACCACATTAGCACAGAGGTGCAGTGGTCGATTCAAATCCCGTAGCGGTAGAGGTAATAAGAGTATAAGCAGTAATCGGGAAAATTAGTGTTTGGAGATGTTACTTAAAGAGTATAATACAGTGAAATAAATTTGGGAAGAGAAAAAAAAAGAGACAAGGAGGAATCAGGTGATTAGAATTTGAAAGAACACAAAGAGTGTATGCACCTGCGCCATTGCAAACGATTTTGAGCCATGTCATTCAGGGTCTCTAACCATCGGTTGCTATCATCTCGCGGTCCCCAACCAGGTAGTCTACACCTACCAACATGACTTAGTCCACTTGTCAGTGACTTCATGGACTTGTGCCATGTTTTGGTCTGACCGCCCCTAGCTTTCTTCCAACCTACTCCTATACCACTGAACATAGCACGTCGAGGCAGTCGGTCGTTGGGCATACGTAACAAGTGTCCCAGCCATCTCAACTGATGAAGTTTCACTACTTCATCAATTGATTTGCCATCCTTACCTAGTACCCGTTTCCTAACAACTGCATTACTTACTCGATGGTCCCACGATATACAAGCAATATTTCGAAGACATCTATGATCAAATACTAGTAACCTACGGATATCCTCTACTCCTATCGGCCATGTTTCACTGCCATAAAGTAGGACAGAACGAACTGCTGCGCAGTAAACCCGTCCTTTGGTTGATAGACGGATATCTCGCCTACGCCATAAATGACGCAAGTTGGCAAAAGCTAGTCGAGCCTTCTGTATCCGTGCTGAGATTTCGTCACACACCAGACCACGAGGGCTGATGAGACTTTCAAGATAAGTGAAGCGATCGACACGCTCAATTACTTCACTCCCTATCATTAGTTCGGGTGTCAATGCAACCCAATCCTGAAGCAACATTTTGCATTTCGAGGGAGAGAATCGCATCCCGAACATGGTTGCATTGTTGCTTAGAGTGGTCAGAAAACTCTGCATTTTGTCAGCGTCTTCACCAAATAAAACTATGTCATCAGCATATTCTAAGTCAACAAGTGAACCTCCTGGTAGAAGTTCAACCCCTGTAAAGTCAGATGAGGAGAGTGTTATCTCTAAAAGTACGTCGACGACAAAGTTGAACAAGAATGGAGAGAGTGGACAGCCCTGATGAACACCACTTGAGGTAATCAATTGTGATAGCAGTTCGCCATAAGCTCTCACTCTACCAGTTGTGTTCGAGTAGAGAGCCTTTATAAGGTTAATGTCAGTCAGTCAGTCAGCTACAACGTAGGACCAGGGACATATGTGCATCGGTCCTGGTTGCCATACCGCATCAGCACAACAAGATGAACACCGGATTCATAGTAGTGGTTAGGTCAAAGGTGGTAATATATAAGAGAAAGATTGCATATAGAGATATAGTACAAGAAGAAAAATTGGTTCGTAGAAAGAAAGATATGAAGCGATTTTAATCTTTTAGTTTAAGGGAAGACGGGGAGTTTATACACCGACGCCATTGTGATCGATTCTGAGCCATGCCACCAAGAGTCTCCAACCATTGGTTACGATAGTCACGCGGACCCCAACCAAGTATTCTGCATCTACCAACATGGCTCAGACTACAAGTTAGTGACTTCAAGCACTGATGCCAGGTTTTGGTTTGGCCGCCCCTAACTTTCTTCCAACCGTCTCCAATATCGGATAGCATTGCATGTCGTGGTAATCGATATTCAGGCATACGTAACACGTGGCCCAACCATCTCAGTCGATAAAGATTCCAAACATTCTGGCATTGTTGCTCAGTGCTACCAGAAGACTCTGCATTTTGTCAACGTCTTCACCAAACAGGACTATGTCATCTGCGTATTCTAAGTCGATAAGTGGACCTCTTGGATGGAGATCAATACCCGAGAACTCAGTCGACGAAAAGGTTATTTCCATCAATAGGTCTATGATGAAGTTAAACAAAAATGGAGAAAGTGGACAGCCTTGACGGACACCACTTGAGGTTGCAAAAGTAGATGACAGTTCGCCATAACCTCTGACTGGACTGGATGATTTTGACCCTTTCTTATATATTGGGACGATAAGTGATTGCGACCAGTCAGATGGGATAAAGTCTAATTCCCAGATCTTAGCTAAAATATTAGTCAACCTAATCGCTAAAATTGGACCACCATCCTTAAAGACCTCTGGAGCCAGTCCATCTGGACCAGCTGCCCTTCCTCGTTTCAGACTAACTATAGCCTTTTGAACTTCAGCAAGAGTTGGGGGACCTACTTTGATGTTCCATCCACGCTGTCTGGGAATGGAGGGTAGTTGTAGAGTAGCTGAAGGCCAGCTGAACTGTTCTCTGAAATGTTCTGCCCATCGTTCTAAACGTCGCCGCCTTTTCCATCTCTTTTGCTTTCATTGCCCACCACTGCTCGCGGTCGTTTCTTAGACTTTTTCTTAACCTAGATCTGATTTGTTGTCACTCTTCATCATGTTCGGAACCTGATGGGACGAGTTTGCGAGAATCCATCAGTGTGATAGACTTTGAAGAAATCCACTGGTTTAAGTCGCTAATAGATGTCACTGCTGTTTCCACAGCTGATTGTATGTCTTTCCAAGCAACACCTGGGTCAGCCTCGTCTTCAGAACTACCTAATTGTGACCTCAGTTGTTCCTGGAACCTACTTTTGGCTTCCTCGCTACTCAGTTCGGTTCTAATGGGTCTTTTTAATGTGGCTTTTTTGCGTCCAGTGAGGCGCAAGCAGATGCGTGCCAGTATTAGGGCATGGTCGGAGTCCAAGCAGGTACTCCAGAATGAGCGACAATCTTCTACCGACCCTCTCCAACGATGACTGATGGCAAAATGGTCTATTTGAGTCCATCGTTGGTTTGGTGTAGGGGGTCGCCATGTTAAACGATGTCTCTCCTTATGCTTAAAATTTGTGTTTGCTAAAAATAAACGATTGTCTGAGCATAGTTGCAGCAGACGATCACCATTATCTGTTCGTTGTGCCGGTATACTAAAATACCCACCTAAATGCCTTTCTGTTTGGTTTAAAATACCTATCTGGGCATTAAAGTCACCTGCTACGAGTACTATGTCTGAACACTTAGCTTTCTGAAGAAGTTCAGATAGCTTTCTGTAAAATTCATCTTTCATTTCATCTTGGTTGCAGTCGGTGGGAGCGTAGGCAGAAACGACGAAAAGGCAACGACGTGTGTTCCTATCCTTCCGAGTTCTTACGGAGCCGTTTAGCCGAACAGCACATAGACGACTGTTGACGGGGATCCACTCTAACAGTGCTTGTTCCGCCCTCATGCTTAGTGCTATCCCTACTCCTGCCAGTCCACGAGAGCTGGCCATCGGGTCACCAGATACACAGAGGGTGTATCTCGTTGGCTCTCCGTTTTGCCGAAGTGAGGTCAAGTGAATGACCACACTGGGATCCTGTATGGGTGTTTCGGATACACAGCATACATCAATGGTAAGAGACTCTAGGGTTTTAGCCAAGGAAGCCTGCTGACCGATTTGACGTAGCGTTCGTACGTTGAAGGCTCCAATGTGTAGTGTGGAGCGAGGTTTCAGTAGACCTGGGACAGTGTTTTGAGCACTAGAATCGTTGGCTATGATGACACTTAAGGTGGAAGAGGAAATTTATAGTTGAAAGTCGATGTAGGCGGAATGATAGGAATTAAAAAGGAAGGTTGATTATGAATACAGTGGTCTTGGGTGCTTTTAGAGGTATGAGTGTGGTTATCACTTCCCGGTTGCCCACACAGAGGAAGGGTTCTTCTGAAGGTACCTGAAAAGGAAATTGGATTAGAGGCGGTCTCAGTGACCTGAGAGCGTGACCGCAGTGCCCAAGGGACAACTGCTTGAGGCCGGTCGCGCACGGCCTTTTCGTGGGAGGTTTTTGACGTGTCAGCTCCGTTCTTCAAAGGGCCTTACCACCGGAGACGGAAATCCGTGAGGTAAGGTGAGGTGTGCATTTTTAGGGTCGACCTTTTCTAACCCCACCCCTCCTTGTGGGAAGACAGCATCGCTGTCATGCTGGTTGTCTGAAGGAAGCACCTTACTGCTGTCACACCTCTGTACAGTCGGCAGTAGGACTTCGCCTTCGGACCTTGGGTTCGTTGCTTTTAGTCTTACCGCTCTTCAACCGACCTGTTTGACATGGTAGGACCTAGAGGAACGGTTGTTCCAGCCAATATAGCTCGGTTGCGTCATCACGATAGGCAAGCCGGACCACCACGTCAAGGTAGCAACAACGGTCGGGATAAGGTTAATGTACTTCTTTGGTACTCCTTTCAGCGACAAACACTGCCATAGAACCTCACGGTCAACAGAGTCGAATGCCGCCTCAAGGTCGAGAAATACTACGATTGTGGGGCGTCTGAATGTGTGTCTGTGTTCTAGAACCTGACGTAGTGTGAATATCTGGTCTACACAACCACGTCCAGGTCGAAAACCAGCCTGGTTTTCTCTAGTCTGTTCTTCACGAGCTTTGGTTAGGCGTCGAAGTATTATTGAAGCTAATATTTTAGACACTATATTAGTCAAACTGATTCCTCTGTGATTGTCACAAGAGGACTTTTGTCCTTTCTTATAGACTGGGACAATCAGTGATTGAGACCAGTCAGATGGGATTACGTCTAGTTCCCAAATCCTACCTAAGACCTCAGTTAATCTCACTGCTAATACTGGACCACCATCCTTAAAAATCTCAGGAGTAAACCTGTCAGGGCCTGCTGCTCTCCCTCGCTTCAGATTTCCTATGGCATTTCCAACTTCGTAAAGAGTGGGAGGACTTACATTAACTTGCCATTCAGGTTGACTGGAGACCGTAGAAAACCGAAGTGTGGCTGAAGGCCAGTTGAACTGATCCCTAAAGTGTTCTGCCTATCTATCCAATCTCCTGGATTTATCACACACTTAATTTGGATATTATGATTTTATGATTGAGAGTTATCCTCCTTTACATGACAGTTTTTATTGCACCGGATGCTCAAAGTGAATTTTCTAAATCCACTTACGACACATCAGGTATTGAAATTTACATGTTTCGTTTATAATGAAATGTTTTGTATTTTAATTTGCAAATTACCGTAAGTTAAGTATATTACTTCAACTAAAGTCATAGTGTAAAGGGTCAAAGTATTTTCTTGAGGTCTTGGTGTTAGGCGAAATTGCGATCACAATTGGCACCGAGTAGCTTTTATCTTCATGAATCACGCATTTAACAAATATCCAGACTATTGAAGTATACTTCTACATTTTGAATTGTGGTATGTCAGTTTTGAGTGATACTTGTTAGGTAGAGTTTTATTGTTTAGGTAGATGTTTTTTGATTGTAGTTTGTTTGGATTCTATTCCTACCTCTTGCTTTTTTTCTCCCGAAAAAATAGCCTGCAAACATACTTCTGGACGAATATGGTCATGTTCGAATCAGTGATTTGGGATTAGCCTGTGATTTTTCACGTCGGAAACCTCATGCTAGCGTTGGGACTCACGGTTACATGGCTCCTGAGGTACTGTTAAAAGGTTGTCCATATGATTCTTCAGCTGATTGGTTTTCACTTGGATGCATGTTATACAAATTATTAAGGGGTCATAGTCCATTCCGACATCACAAGACAAAGGATAAACATGAGATTGACAGAATGACAATGACCATGGTAAGATTTTGTGTTGTAGAGTAGTTTCCTTGATGATTATTTTTTCAATGAATTCCAAGTGATTACTTTCAAAATATGCTCTTTATGGTATCAGAGAAATGGAAAATTAAATGAACAAACTTATTAACACATGGCTATGAAAAAAATAGTATCGGTCCAGGTTTTCAGGAAGAACGGAATGATTCAAATAATCTGTCCGGGCCACACGTTTTTGTGTGTGAAAGCTAATAACGCTACATAATTGCTCACATAGAAGTGATTGGCTGGAGTGGGGTTGAAATGTACAATGATTTATCATTCTTAATTATCCTACTGCATCAATTGATGCAGTGTACTATGCAGCAATCAGCTTCGCGGTTTTTTATAACTGTGGGATATTATTATCGTAGAAGGAAAAGGGCATAGATCATGTGTATTCGATCATCATCGTCTGCAAAGGGTTTATGGCATGAGAACCATCAGTTATATAGTGTCTAAGTTAGATGCGATTTCGTAAACGGGGTAATCCAATCATTGAGTTTATAAATCTAAAATGATTAATGTAGTAAAAGCATGGGAAATTATAAAAATAATTCAAATGATCAACGCTCATGTAATATTGTGATATCTAAATGTATTCAATAATAACTTTTGTACTATTTTCTTTGTAGCGTGATTTCAATCAATTTTTTTCACTAATTTACAAACTTTTTCAGAGTCTAGATATCCCAGATGGTATGTCCTGTGAAATGCGGTCCCTGTTGGAAGGTTTGTTAGCGCGTGACGTTTGCAATCGCCTTGGATGTATGGGTCGTGGGTAAGATATTTCTGAAGTAAACATTTTTCATGACAGTGTAGGCAAATTTAATCGTATTATGTGCTTTATGGTGAATAAGTAACTGGTTGTGGTAAGCAAAATATACTCCCTACAGTCCTTCATGGATTATTGATAATAAGCGATCAGAATATTGGGAACTTTTTCTGAATATCTTAGTTAACATCTGTACTGCTTGAATTAGTTGTTCCATTCATGATAAAAAATTCAGTGGCACATATCATTATGTATTCGTAATCCAATCGCTTCACTATCAACTGTGTTTTAAATAACATGATTTGTTTGTGGAAATCATTGCTACGCCTTTCATTTTTTACCCAATAGTATACAGGAGAAAACTTGTCTCGATTTAGATTTAGGCCTTGATATGACAGACTAATTGGTTCAGCCTTTTAGGTAGAAATGTGTGATTCCGAATGAAACTCACAACTTATGGCTGAGTGACGAGAACTATTCTATCACCTGATTGGTTGACAAGCGAGAGAGAAGACGAGTCAACTGGAACACTTTGATTTATTCTTGATTCAGCTTAATAAGAAATCTGAGTAAATATATGACTAACACGGACTCATTGCACAAAAAATTAGAAGAATACAACTGTATGCAAACCAGACTTTGAGGTAAAAAGGGAGTGCAAATGGTTATGTTCAAATTACAATAGCTTTGAAACAGAAAAGGGCATGACAGTGATTCATGTATCAAACGAAAGCTTATAGTTTATAGAATCACCAGGGCAAAAACTAAATGTTAGTATTTTACAGATTTTGGATAAAGTGAAATAATGTTCCCGAAAATATCTTCCGTTGTTCTTCATGGTTTATTTTTCTGTTCACACAAATTATCTCACCTGTTTTATTGAGACGGAACACGCAAACGGTAGTCCAGCTAAGTTATATTAATTTGCTTTGAGATGGTGAAAATTTATAGGTCAAATTAATGGTCATTGTGGTTTCGTTCTCTGAACCAGGAGGCTGAATCACGAAGCTTTCATTTTTCTTCTTAACAACATCAGCTAAAGCTTCAGGTGGAAGCGGGCTATTCGAATTTTTTTACATGTGACTGAAAGTTTGTCCTGTCGATCATGATTGGTTGCTGTCGAACTGTATCCGGTCATTTTCTACACATACATAAAACCTATCAAGATGTAAGTCGATTTGATAAGCTATTAGTTCCATGAGGAAAAATTAGAAAAGTTCACTTTTATTTGAAGTTTTTATCGATCACATTGTTCAGAAAGACAGCGCAAAGTTCACGATTTAGCCTTCTGGTTCGGCAAACGAAACTCCACCAAAAGTAATGTGTTCGTAAAACATGGTAACATATCAGTGGCATATTATTATTATTACTACTACTGTGTTATTATTATTATTATTTAGTGTTCTTTTGTTTGCAAATGATAGCTTGTTATTATATCAATAGAAATAAACTAATCAGAAAATTAGTTTTCATAACTCTGACTTATTTAACCATATGATTTTAAGGATAGTAGATTTTCTACGTTAATTTGACTCAAAAACAATTGATTTTTGTGGCCATTTTCTTACATCTTATTTGATGATTGTAGGTATGGAAGATATTGGAGATCTATTTGATTTAGCTCTTCATATTGACTATATTATTTTAATTTTTTCTAGGTTATTATACGAGTTTCATCCAGACAGTTGAGTTGCTTTATCATTTAATCGACATATATTTTATTGCATAACTTAACAAAGGTTTTAGTTACCCTAACGTAGTTGTTGTTAGTCCGTTCATCTATTCGTTTACGTTGGCGTATTATTTTAATCAATCTAGAAACAAATGAAGAAATTTATGAATTTCTGTGAATAAATAGTTAGTAAATGTTGATTGCTTAGTTATTAAAAAGATATTAAATGGTAATTGGATATTTGTAAACATTTCAACATGTTTAATTTAAACTGTTCTGTTCAACAGTCTACTCAATGCTTATTCCTAGTTATGATAGTTTAAATAGTCTTATTTTAGACACAGTTAAATATCTAATCTGTATTTAATTAAAGCGATTGGTTATGAGTGTCATTTTACCAACAACAAGTTAATTGTAGATATTTTAAAAACTACTACTATTTGTTAGGGTGTTCCTTCAATCTTTCCTAAAGACAAAACTATTTCTACCGATATTGGGTAACCACTTTAATGATTAATATAAATCACTAGTTTTATTTCTAAAATATTTGAAAGAACTATTTTCAAATTTATCAGTTTCCTTATCAATTAACAATTGATAATTATTAATCTTGTGTGTCTAACTTGCATTTTCAGTTTGATTTTAATCCATTTGTTTTCTTTTCTGGCGGTTGTGCTTGGCATATCCTAATAATGTGTTTCTTAATTATATGCTTAATTCCATGGATATATCTGTTTTACTTTCTCATCTAAATCGATTTTAGATCTCTTGAAGTTCGAGAACATCCATTTTTCAAAGGAATTGATTGGCAGCAGGTTTATTTGCAAAAGTACCCACCACCTTTAATTCCACCTCGGGGAGAAGTAAACGCTGCAGATGCTTTTGACATAGGCTCTTTTGATGAGGAAGATACTAAAGGTATTAAGGTAAGAGGTGTTCAATCAATGAATGTGAAGGTCAAAGTTTGGTTGAGAGGTTTCGTTTTTGATCATTAATTTTCACTTTGAAGCCACTCCAATGAGCGTTGACAGAGACAAAATATTTGTCGTAAAGCTCATAAACAGGTTATTTAAAACTAATGGGGATAGCGACGAAATGTTTGCTACTTTGTTGATATCTATCTCCCTTTAGTAATCTTATTATTGCAACGAATTTTCGGTTAGTTATTTTGAAGCAATATTTATTCAACTTTACCATACAAAATACATCTTGATTGAGAAAATTGTTTATGTTCTAGTTATAACAAAGTTGATTGTCAGGGTGAATTATACTGGATCAGAACTTGATTTTTCTGATAGTTCTTAAAAAACATATTTTTATAAATTTCCTGCCTTGAATAGTTCGTTTATGTTATCGTTCACTTATTACCTGATATGGTAAGTAGACTTCATTGGCTGGAACATTGGTGATGAATGATATGAATTTTGTTTTCCAATTTTCTATGATATTCATTCATATTTTTAAGAAAGACAGTCATATTAGAAAAACACTGAAACGACACACTCATATTAGTTATATCTGTAGGTTATAGATGGTAACTTTTATGATATTTTATATTAACGTTTGTTTGGTAAATTATTCATTAATTAATATTTAGTACTGTTTAGTTAAATGCATACAAATCTGGCCATTAAACAGTGTAAATTTCATTTAAATTGAGGTGTGGGTTACATATATACACATAAGTAGTATATAACGGTGGTCAGGCATAGAATGTATTTCAGTAGAAGATCGATAGGGAAAGAACGGGAACGGAACGCAATTGGTATGAAAATGTATGAACAATGAAATCGGAGACAATGGACTGGTAGTTGCAAAAGGAACAGTCAAGTTTGAGACGTGGATTAATATTTTGCAAATTAACTATTTACTATATGGTTCTCAGATTTCAGTGAGATGCTCTGTAATTTTGTATCAAATATATTCGGTTGTCCCTACTCGTGTTCTTTTTCACTACAAAACTAGTGTATTTCGATATTATTTCTACTTATTTTTAATCTCAAATAAATCTTCATCTACAGTTTTAGCTTTCTTACTTAATTTGTTTGAATTAACGGTTTTTCAATAGCAAATACCAAAATATTAAGCAATTCCATCATTCCATTGATTGTAAACATACTGTATCTGAAAGTTTATGTAACAAATCTCACTTTCTTCCTATTCTGTTTGCAGCGAAAATTTTAATACTACAATTCGTTTAAAAATGAAATAGATAGAAAAAAAAATTTTGAAGATAAAACTGTTCTAAATAGTTTAGACTTAGTTTCAGATGATTATGATTTAATCATTTTCAAAATATTTATTATATTTTTCACCAATGGTTGTTAACAACTTACATAGTTAAATAGAATGATTTCTAGTAATAGAAATAATGGTATATTTGGGATTTTATTATTCCTGTTATCAACAATCTATCCATTGCTCAATTCATTCGAAATTACCAAGCCAGTAAACATTGGTAATGAATGTTATTTTAAAAAAAAACTATATCTGTTTCATATTTTTCAAAATATGTAGTAAATGTTTCTGAAATTGCATTAAGATTTTGATTGTTTAAATTTAGTTTTATAAAATATTCTTAATTTTCTAAATAATTGAAATATTTAGCTCACAGAAGCTGATCAAGCATTGTATCAGAACTTTTCACTTGTTGTGTCTGAACGTTGGCAGTTAGAAATAGCTGAAACTGTGTTTGATTTTGTAAATCAAGAGGCAGATAAAGTAGATAATAAAAAAGCTCGTGCACGACAACGTTCTACACAAACTGCTGATGTTTCAAGTAGTGGCTTATCTGGAGTTACTTCAAGTACTGGAAATTTATTAAACATTGGGAATGTTGGAGTTTCAAATAGCGGATCGGGTGGAAATCTTTCTGACAATATGACTGTTGATGGGGTAGCCTCTGACTGCATTGTTGAGGGTGACGTTCTGAAACTTGGCGGACCATTTTTGCAAACATGGCAACGTAAACATCTGCGTTTATTTCCCAACCGTATTGAGATATACAACAAGTCTAGAGATGGTTTAATTCTCAAGAAAGGTGTTGATGTAAGTGTGGCTTACGTTTTAAGTTTGGCTAATTTTTTTCTTTATGTCAATGTATTTCAATTTTCTGTGTGCTCATATATCTACAATGCATTTTTAGCTTAAAATCTTTGAGTGAATGGTATTTTTGTTAGTTTTTCTACATTAGGTGGTATGTTTATGATTATGCTTTTTATGTACGCTTTGTGGTTTTCCAATGTTTCATTTCATTTGGTTTGTTGGAAAGTATATGTTTTCAAATTATGCCTAGCTTAACTAGAAGATACATATTGTATTATTAAACAATTAAGAATAACCTCTTTCTCATAACTGTTCCAATTTTTAAGATAAGTTGGTCAAGTGATTATTTTCATAGGTTAATAATGTTTATTTTACTCACAAATTATTAGGAAATGTTCTTTGACATAGGAACGGCAACTAAAGTGCTTTATAGTTCATGACAAATACCGGTTATTAGGGCTCAAAATATTTATTTATTATGGGAATCCGTGATGGTGTATGATGATAAGTGTATTTGAGCTGTCTAAAGTCAAATCATAGTATCTAACTAAGAATCATATTTAGTTTTTCTGAGAACCATATTACTTACGGGAACATTTATATATTGTCAACCTCAAACTAATATGGAATGTGTACCTAAAGCACGAAGTGTCAAAATATTGGGAAGAGCAGTGATTTAGTAATTAATACACTCGGTTTTAAACCAGGGAGTTGTAGGTTCAAACCTCGACCCGGTTATGTTGGTTTGGGTACTTAAATACTATCATCAGCTCACACACAGTCTAACTGAAGTTTGATTACATACACCTGTGCATGATAAATGAGTTACACTAATTTCTGTGTTTTATATTATTTGCTACTGATGAATTGTTCAATACTTATTCATGATGATCCAGATCGCAGTCATGATATTTATTTAGTAATTTATATGTAAAAATATTAGTCTTAGATAATTAACTTATCTTCGGAAGGAAGATAGTGTGGGGTTTCACATAACTTTTGATTTAACATTGGGTTGATCAAACTTGGAGTTAGGTAGGTCTTTGTTCTTCGTTAGGTACCATAACACTCAGTTATTTTTGCTTACTCAATTTGTGCTTTTTCGTTTAAACGAGTGGATAAATGTCATTCGAGTTTCGGACTTGAAAATATGATTAAATTGTGTTGTTCTCTTGAAGGTTGCGTTGTTTAATTAATTCTGATTGCTCATAGGTTTATTATAGATTGATTCATGTTGAATTGGTTGTTTGAAATTTCTCACTGATGTTTAGGACTGCAAGTGATCAGTCTCTTACTAGCACACGTACCCATACGAGACTGATTAATTTCATTCTTAAATGTGATTGGTAAGATTCAGGCAACCAATATAAAATGGATTAAATTTCACTCCATTTTACAAGCTAGTGGTCATCTGGACTCAGTAGCTAAGTGGATAACGTTTAAAGCGAAAGGTACTGGTTTCAAGTCCCGGATTAAACATCAGCTCTGGGAAGCAGGCAAACCCAGATGACGAATCACAGACAGGACGAAACGCTGCATCTTTGATTCCACTTCTAGTCACCATTCATCTCTGTTTATCGCAGACTTTTTTTCGAATGATAATAGTTTAATGTATTTATGGATTCTCATCGTTGCTATACTTTAAGACACTGAATAATAACTAAAACGAGTAATAATAACAAATCATATTTTTTTCTTCCCACCTGTCTTGTTAAATATTTTCTGTTTTAGCTTATATCAATGCTTGATATCAAAGAAATTTCTCCGGAGTTTTCTCGTGTGTGTAAAATGGATAATTGTATTTCAATTAAACTGAAAAATGATACGCGATTGTACATAACTTCAAATGTAAGCTTCATTTTTTCTCTGAGTTGTTTTTGTACATTTGACTGAAGATGCATAGTCAAATTTCTTAAGTATGCACTGACTCGTCATTGTTGTGCCATCCAGACTTTAAGTCAGTCAATCATTCAACGTAGGACTTGACACAAATGTACATTACTCCAAACCGGTGCTTCATTTCATCACAAAATAAGCAACAAATTCATAATGTGAAAGTGTGACTAAATCTTCTGGGAAGATAAATAGTAGATGCACGTACTCCACTGTAGTCTTCTAAACCGTATTACCAACTATTTCCAAGCTCTAATCGCGGCTATCGCACCGACCCCATCGAAGTAGTTTGCGCTTATTACCGTACTACTCAAATCAGCAGTTAATAACTTCATGAATTGAACTTGAAGGAATCACAGTTTGAGCTTTTTGATGTCTTCGGTGTGTTTTTTCTCGATGTTTAAGCCACAAATATATAATCGGTTAAGATACTTTTTGTACTTTCGTTTGGATATCTACCATTTTTGTTTTTATTTATTTACACCTGTTAAAATATTTCTCATAGAATGTATGACTTTGTCTAACAAAATATTGTCAACAACTTGTTTTGCAGGATATTCACAAATCTTGCAGTTCACCTGGACATATTTTACATCCGTAGTTTTGTATTATGCATGATTTCTCTATTGAGAACCATTCAGTTAGATATCTAGGTGTCGTCAGAGTAAACCATTATCTGAAAAGCTCAGATTTGTGGACCACATTATTCGCAATGACTGAAGATGAGCTCCATATGCGTTTTGTAAAGGATTCTTGTTGCTGTAGGGAATCACGTATGACATTGTGTATACATATTTCTGCAGGTGCTTTCACTTTGCTAAATACCTTAGTTAACATTTTATCTTATATGTACTATAATTACTAGTAGTATGAGGATTTTTCTGTTATTTCAGGACAAAATCATGATTACACAATGGAAAGAAGAAATATTAGAAGGCTATCGAATTTCCTGTGAATTGATGGCACATATGAACAAAAAAGCCCATAAAATGTATGGTGTTCTCGATCCTATGTCAAACACGGACACTCATCCTCCTTCTACTACTGTTATAACGTCATCTATTTTAACTGTTACTACTAGCGGTTCTGTACAGCCTCTCACTTCTACAAGTCGTCCATCACAGAAGTCACATTCACCTCCACAAAGTTCTACACATCCCCGTCCTCGCCTAAGTCATCAGGCATCAATGCCTTCCTATCCACTCACAAACCATAGGGGTCAAGGGTCATCTTTAGATTCAGTCACAGGTTCCAAGTCTGGTGATCAAGCTGTTGAAACAGATGTAAATCAAGATATTAATCCACCAGATGGTGGTGTTGGTAGTGATTTCAATAATAATAAGTCATCTTAAATTCCTACTGGTCATTTTAATTTGTGTTTATTATTATTAGAGTATAGTTATTGATTCACTAACAGTCTTGATCTTTCGATGCTAGTCATCTATCTACAGTTTATGAAAAAAAGATTTGGAGGATGGCAGCTTTCTAATTGAAAATTGCATTCCATTTAAGCTTCGAGATGGTCGTTATAATCCCCGTGTGTTTATAGTAATTGTATCAAATTATATTGTACGAGATAGTTGTTCAACCTCCATTTCTGATGTCATACTGTATACATTTTTGTTCATTCTTGCTTTTAATTAGAAGCATGAAATTCCGTTTACTCTGTCTGTACTTAAGTTCGGAATAGTCCCATTTCTGATGATAATATAAACCTGAATTCTGTGGTTTAATCATGTCAAGAAAATATTATGCTCATTTATTTTGTGTATAAAGTTATTGTGTATTACACTGTGTTATGTCGACTTTTCTGAACAATCCTGTTTATTCATATTATTAGTTGTTTTTGATTAGTTTTGAGATTCATAGAATCTAATTATTCATTATTTCCTCGATTTGCCTCTCTTCATATTCTTTATGTGCAATATATGATTGATTAATTCGTTTTTTTTTTAAAATTTTTCTAATTGTTTTTTGTTGCATTTTTGTCTGTTTGTTCCGCATCTCAGTGACTGCGCCGGAAGTTTGTTTCCTCTCACTCAAAGAGTGTTTTTTACTTGATTCGTCGAGTCTAAATCTGGTTAATAAACTGTTATTTTTTAACTTCTTATCATTTCAGTTATATTATTACTGTTGTTGTGTATGGCATCTGTTAATCTACATGATTTGTTATTATTACATAAGATCATACAAAGAGACATTGAATGTGTTATTAGTTATCTGATTGCGTTAACATTATCATTATAACTACGATTTCCAATATTATTACCTTTGTAAGTTTCATTTAGAGTTGTTTTTGTTATTATTATCATCTTTGTACACTCGTTCATTTATCCTATACTTTTTAATTGACATGTAATTTCCTTAACATAATACTGGTTACATTGATTGCATTATAATAAAGCTTATCTAATTTTTAAGAAATAAGGAGAGAAAAAAGATTTCGATTGTCTGACTATTACATTATACTTGACTTTTTCATTTCAATTATATTTGAAAATGTTTGCATTTTAAGAATGTATGTTGGTTGTATTTTTGTTAAAAATGTACATGTCAGCATACTTGTCATGTTATATTGTGCAATGTTTATAGTGGTTAGCAATAGAAATAGGTAGTGTTTGCACTATTTGTTAGTGGATAAAATTTGTAATAAATATAGAATAGTTATGATTACGGCATGGTAGAATGAAGAACACATGGATTTCTTTTCTTTTCAACTCATGTATATATTTTACTTTGCGCATACCTATTTACCTACCAGGCATGCACTTAGATACAGTTACAAATCAACACATTTATACACATACAAATGGAAATAAATAATGGTTTTTAGTTCAGTTTACTTGTTTGTTTTCTTCATTTCTTAGCCACATAATATACATTTTGCATTTCTTTTCTCCTAACTTGGTTAGTTTTTGCATTTATTGTATCCCCTTCTTTCTTGTGTTCACTATACTTATTATTAATTTGTTGTTCTGTCATTGTCCAGTTTTTGTTCTCTCTCTAGATATTGGCAACTAACATACATTTTTTAAAATTCATTTTTGGAATACGTGTATACATAGCCTAAATTATTTCTGTTTCTTTTTTAAAATCATAGATTATTATTACCAGTCTTGTTATTACTACAATTACTATTACTGTCTGTTCTATTTATCTTTTCCTCAATTAACAAAAGTCATGGTTTAGTGTTTCTTAATATTGTGTTGATAATAAAGTATGAATTAATATAGTAACAACAGAACTTATTGTGTTAAGTAAATGTGATGAATTTTATTTTTACTCTTATAGATAATGATGATGTAAAATTGATTTGACAAGTTATAGACATAATCATTTCTATCTGTATTTATATTAATTGAATTTTTATTTTGTTTGTGATTGAATTATATAAATGAATGAAAGAATAAGTAAGATTGCATTGAATTCATTGTTTTAATTGTTTTCGTTGTTGTATTGTAGTTGTACTTGTTGATTTACTTTTCAATTCATCTTCTTTTTGTCTTGTTTAAGTGTCTCAGTTGTTTATAAAATATATAAGAGTATAGAAGAGTAAATAACCAAATGAAGCAATATCTTGATTCTTATTGTGAGTTAGTTATATGTTAAATATTAATCATTTGTTTTACTGCACTTATTCTAAAATTTCTCTTATTTACATACTTTTAAAATGATATTATAGAATATTAGATTACTTTATGACAATCATGTTTATATGATTATGAATTTGTGAAATATAAATAACAGTCGATTTTTTGTGTCTGTGTATATCATTACAGTTTCTTAATCAGTATACTTTCTATTTTTCTTAGGTTCTTATTTTAAGTTACATTAATATGTCTTCATGATGTTAATTTTAATTCACTAACATGTGTGAAAATAATGGTTCGTAAAGAAAATGGCTTTAAAGTAAATCACTTGATGAGATGTTCAATGATGAAAACATCTTAGCGTACATATGGAAGACGATCTTACGCAATATATTTATTAAACTGTAATATCGTTATTTTTCCTCGATTAAACTAATATTGATTAGATTGGTACATGCATGCAGATTGAGTTCTTGTGCTTGAATTAAATTTATTATGTTATCTCACTGATAAATAGTAACCTGTTCGTTTGAAAATATCAGTATTTCTAGTTCTTAAGAACGCATAAATCACCTTAAATTCCCGTAAAATATTTTCCTGATCTCTCTCAAGAAATACTAGATGTTTAGCCATCACTCTAAATACACTGACAGTTTTTGATTCAGCTTCTCGACTGAGGTATAGAAAGACGAAATAAATAAAATACTTCATCCTGGTTCACAGTTGCCAGTATAAACTTTTGCATATTTGGTTTCATTTGCATGGTTCATAAGTTGGATCGGGAAATTGGTGTAATATTTATTTACTGCATATAAATTCAGATAGTTTTGAGTATCAAAAGTACACTACACAAATTAAACGATATTTTAAAGAAATAAGGTTGCAAAGAGTTGTACAGTTAGTAAGAAAATAAACACTTCACGAAAGACTTGAGTCATTTAAGGAAGCTTATCTTACTTGTGTGAAAACAGTAATAGGAAATTACTGTAGGATTGCCACTGACACCTGATAACTGAATAGTACAAACATTAATACATAAAACAAGGAGTTGTGTTAGAATTCGGTAGTATAATAGAAAAAATTGGAACTAAAAATCGAAAAATATACTGTCAATTAACTACTAAAACAGTCTAATTATGGAGAACACTGTAATGAAAGTGAAATTAAAAGAAATTACCAATTTCTAAATAAATTCATTGGTTCATGTAATTAAAAACCAAATGTAGGTTCTATACGTTTTATCGTTTAGGTCATAGAGGAGACCTAAACAGATCTCACAGCTGGGATTGAACATACGGTTTCTCAACAACTGGTGAGACATTTGTCACATACATTTAGAACTGGTACTGAGGAAGATAAAATTTGTGATTGGCGAGTATAGTTTTGCAAGAGCTTTCCCTTCGGTATAATTAAAGGCTGTAAAAATAATCTAGATTTCATTTATCATCACTCTTCATCCTCAAATTTCATAAGTTCCTTAAAGTTTTCTTCCGATAGTGGTGTCGGTTTCTTTGGATTTCTAGGTTGACGATTCCAGAAAAGCGAAAACTTATTTTTGTTGTTTTAAATTCCGTAAGGGTTATCTGCACCTACGTGTTTATCAGAGCTGTTCGACCAATCACAAGTGTAATGGTTTCGTAAATCCTGAGAAATACATTTGCTACTTAGTCATAAACGCTAGGTGTTTATAAACTCATGCGTTACGCAAATATATCATATATATATATATATATATATATATATATATATATTAAAATCTAACATAGTGTCAGAAATTCGGTATTGTGTGCTAGCTTCGAAATCTGTTATTTGCAAGTGTGTTGTTCTAATTATCTACAACTTGAAACGATGTGCACATATGCCAGATTATACGTTGTATTTGACTGACTGTAATTTCGTCCATCACTTTGTTTAAACTTCCAAGTTGTTTTATTATTTTATAGGAAATAAAATTCAATTATATGACAGTCTCATGTTTCGATTTATCCTATGTTTATAATGTCCATTATAGCATTGAACCGAATCTAATCAAAATGTTTACTTGTTTGTTCACACAAGTTACTCGCATTGTGTCATCATATTGATATAAATTATTTTTCATTTTGTCATATAAACCATTTCAAAGATTAAATCACTCTTTGCATATATCAAATTTATAAATTATTTACAATATTTGTTGAATAAACTTATTCTTGAAACGTATTTTCAGGATGGGTATTAATTTATATCACCGACTGGAAGCAACTATTAAATTACTGAATAAAGGATCTCTGAACAACTATTGTTTTATTAAATATTTACAATTCAGTTGTGCACATGACCTAGCTAAGAATCAGACGTAGTACTTTTAGATTTTGCCAAGAGTACAACACAACAATTTTGCAGCTGAAATCCACTGGGAATTCAATCATCAATGATTTAATAAAAGACAAGTGATTTTTAAGTGAGATTTCAATAAACCCATACAGGTAACAATTGAGAGAGGTAAACAAAAGCCATATGGTTAATGAATGATTAATATATGACTCAGGTGAACCAAGGAAATAATTAAAAACTATTTTAAAATGGTACAGCACACTTATGGTCGAAATATTACTTACTAAGTTGGTTTTGTGAGTCTCTCAAACCCTTCTAAGGGAATTTTCATCAACTAACATGGGAAATAAATAGAGCAAGAACAAACATGGAAAAGGTTTGTTGATAATTTAAAACCGGTTTAAATGAGACATGGTCGAGGTAGGGCTTGAAATCTTAGAGTTTGGTCTTACGTGGAGTCTTTGGTGTGGACAACGTCTAGGTCCCGAGAGTGAGCAGAACCTTTCTCCGAGCCTTGATTTCCAATAGTTCTTATGCTAAAGCCAGTTTGTTATAAAATAGGACTGTTTTAGGAATTGGGATTGCATTCAGTGGAGCCTTGGTATTTATTATCTACTGTTCAAATGTAAATAAGACCAATTCGATGAAGGAATTGGCAAATATGATGAACAATTATCTTTCTTGTTTGTTCTTTATTTGAGGTAACGATTTATTGTTGAATATTCCTTGCTAGGTAGAATTGTTCTTAACATTGGTTTGGAACACTGTCATATCTTTATTTTTAGCTAGTGTACAAATCAGATTTAAATCTTGGTGAATAAATGAAGTTAGCCCCAGTTTAAAGTGTCCTATTCTGATAGCCATCCTTTATTAGTTTTGGATTTTTTTTCAAAAGTTTCAGCGATACACCTGGGTTTAATGCTTCAAATATATGTTGTGATTGGGACAGTATTTATGCCTGAGTACATTCTGACCCCGGTTATACTTAATTTATTTATTGGTTAGGGAAAGTGTACTATGAATGAATATGAACAAGTATTGGATAACTTTATAGTTCTGTTCCAAAACTCAAACTGTAATGTACTTATAGTGCTTTTGAAATTAAATCCAAAGTATCCACATTTCATGTAATTTCAAAGAAATAGAATTTTCGCATGATCGTTTTCTAATATCATCAGCCTATTTTTGTCTCGAAGTGCATAATCTCACAGATCATAACCTAGAACAATTAACAGTAGGACTTATTTTAAGGACAGATAAACATCATAGTTTGTATCACGAATTGATCGTAGTTAAGTAAACATTGAAAATTAGGAAGTTCAGGGCAGCTTATTCGTTCTAATATAGGATTTATCCATGACCCAACTGGGGATCCAACTCAAGACCTTCAGGTTCCGGAACTAGTAATTAACCATTAGATCACCAAGCCGGTACTCACTATTTCATACGTGTAATATCCGATTAAAACTATAAGGTTCAACAATCGCCAAGAGCTCCGTTTAGTAAATGGACATTTATCTGTATTTAGTAAGAAAAGGTGAATATCTAAATTATACTTCCCACATTTACTGACTTAAGTTTTCGTAATCTGTTACCGGTAGACTATTTACTCAAACCTTTTCATATATCACTATGATAATCAAAATACGTTAATCAATTAGCAGAATGAATAAAGATAAATTTTTAAGAATTGTATTCGAGTATAAAGGGGACAGGTTCCATACTGTTGAATCAAATCGTTATATTTTAAATTAAGAAATATATAAGACATAAGACGATTAAGTAAGCTATTATTTACATTTGAAACAACAATCATTCCTTGGTAGTTTGAAAATGATACTGATGGCAGGTCAGGTTTAGATTTAGTTGACTGAAGTAATTGATCCACCGAAAAACTTATATAAATATTTTGCATAACTCCTAATCATGATTTAGTATGTTCAATACTATTTTTCTATGTATAAGAGTGTTATTTTATTGTAAAGTCACAAGACAGTATGAAATTGCTTGATATGAGGCTATTAGAAAGAATAGATAAATAGGGACATTTGTTTAGATCTACTGATTAATCATGATTTGTCTTATTACTAGAGTAGTTTAATACATCAAACTAGGATAAGTATATCCTTTTGAATTACGGTGTTATGAACTGTTCAGTCTACATGTATAGGAATAATTTTCTATGTAATTTTATATCAGCTGACCATTATTCGAAACAGTTGTTAAAATTTCTTATTTGTATGTCAAATTAGTTTCAACTAGCATTCTCTCATGATGGTTATAATATAACTTAGTAAGTTACCCAATTTAGTAAACGATAACAACCTGATGACATAGAATTCCTAAACATTAGCTGTTATTAAGATCACAAATGATAACCCCGAGACTATTAAATTATTTGCGTAATTCAATTCATAATCACCGTTTTATTGGGCCATTAAGCCAACTTTCATTACATTTAGACTTGTTTAAATAAAAATTAAACAGAGAGGATTTATTAAATAATAAATTAATAATGCCGGATAACATTTGCACATAAATTTGGATTACTTTAAAACGGCAATCTAAAAGTGTCTACTGTTATCTAATTCAATATATTACGTTAGAGCTAACAATGGCAGAATATATGCAAAAGATTATCAAATTATTTCACACAATACAATTGAACTGGTTTAATTTTAAGTAAAATCTCAAATAATATTACGAGTTTATCCATTTAGTTGTTCGAATGCATAGTTATTATTCCCAGACATTTTGAAGAACGAATTACTTGAATATATACTTAGGTCGTTTACTGTCGTCCCCAATCTTGTTTTTTCAACGTATGAACTAACTCATTGTGGTGTTGTATTGAGTATTTATACAATAGTGACCTTTAGAATGTAGTAGTGTTTTCGAACTGTAGTATTGATTTATGCATCCTTTATTATATTTTTATTAATCACTACTTTATCAAATTTAACTTGAAAATTCAATCAAGTTAAACAATTAATAAACATAATAATTTCATTGAGTGTTCTTAAATCAGGGATTTTTTAAAAAAAATCTGCTTGTGAAATACCTGTTAATGTCTACTTAACTCATTTATG